CAAGAAAAGAGACAACAAACTTAAAATCTCAGATTTGTGAAAATAAGAAATACAATTAATCTCAAGCGGGAAACACAAAACAGCATACAGCCATACAAACAAATTACGTTTAAGTTTCAGAATATTAAGATAAAAGAGATCTTAAAAACGAACTGGTAAGAAAATACAAATTAGCTTTAAAATGGAACAGTAAGACTGACAGCCTCTCCAGAGAAGGACTTAAGTAGGTCCTAGAGGAGAACTACCTTCAACAACGGGACAGAACGATGGTCAGTTTATAGTTTACTATCTAGTGATAGTGCTATTCAACCACGAGGCCAAAATAAACACATTTTAAAGAAAGCAAATGTGAACCTGAGGATTTTAACCAAGTAGTAACTACTGAGAGGAATTCTTCAGGATGTACTTCGGTGTGAACAAAACCAAACGGAGAAGGTTTAACGAAAGAAGAAAGGTGAACAAGAAGCTTGGTAATCATGTCAGAAAAGCTAAACACTCATCATAGTCACATTTGTGGTATATTCTATGGATTAAAGTTGTGGAAAAAACTAAAGTGGAATTCAAATCCTGGCAACATCAATGTGGAAGTCAGAAGAGGGTTATTAGGATAAAAATGTCTCAGGTTATTTTAGAAAGGTTAGAAAGACAACTTATGACTTCAAGATAAATAGTAAGGTCAGATTATTAAAAATGTAAAAGAGAATAAATAAAGCGTATAACTACCAAACCTGAGAAGAATAAACCAAGAGGTCAGGAATGCGAGTGTGTGTGTGTGTGTGTGTGTGTGTGTGTGTGTGTGTGTGTATGCACCATATAGAAAGGCACAATGAAGATTAAAAATTAAATTCAAACAACTCAGTGAAAATGGGTTAAAGTCACTAACCCCATCCAAAGATGTCATAATAGATTGAAAATAAAGAAACCTAGGTATATACTACTAGAGGAGAAACCCTGAAGATCAATGAAGTTTGATGATACAGGAAGCACAAGGCATACTGAGAAAGTATTAATCAGAAGATATACTGTATTGACATAAAGCAAAGCAAATTTTAAGAAAAAAACCACCATTATGAGAAATAAGAGACTATTAAAAAACTGCTCTTTAAAATCCCTAGTGATTCTGTTTGTTTGTTAAGATTTTATTTTATTTTAATTATGTGTATGTGCTTATGTGTTTCTCTATGTGTGAATTTGTACACATGAGTACAGTGCCCATGGAGGCTAGAATAGGGTGTCAGATCCCTCTGAGCTAGAGTTACAGGCAGTTATGAACTACCTGATATGGGTGTTGGGAACCAAACTTGGGTTTTCTGCAAGAGCAGTAGGTACTCTTAGCTACTAACCATCTGTCTCACTGCAGGAACTCTAAGTGTTACTGAATATAAAAGCATAGCTTATCTTCAAAAACCATAAGACAACAATGAATAGACTTGCTAGAATACTCAAACTCCCAACAAGGAAGTTGTGAGCATAGTTGTTTATAATTTTAACTGTCTCCCTCGTCAATCCCCTCTTATAGAATGTAATCTACATTCAGGGCTTTTTTTCTGTTTCATTCATGGCAATATTTTAAAGCGTAGAGAAACATAATACACAGTAACTGCCTTATACCCTTGTTGAAAGTTTGAATTAGTCAGGATGAAAATAAGATAGCAGCAACACAGACCAGATAATACAATCAACAAGCATGACCCAGAAATCTGTCCTTCCAACTAGTGAAGACATGTTCTCAAACATGCATGAAGTACTTATGAAAATTCAGAATGTGCCAGACCACATTCTCTGACCACAATACAATTAAGTTAGAAACAAACAACAACACAACAATAAAACTATATGCATTATAAAATGTAAAACACATTTCTGAATGACTCAAAGGGAAGAGAAAGACACGGAGAAGACTTAGCAACAGAACTGAATATTGATGAAAATATTATAATCAATATTTGTGGCAAACAGCTGAAGACAATAAGGATACAACTGGTGAGGTACACATCCAAATGAGGACTGACAAAGGAAACATGAAGAAGATATATGACAGGAAATAAAAAGAAATTATTGAAGTAGAAAAATGTACACAACAAAGAATAAAAAGTCAAAAGCTGTTTCTTTGAAAATAACTCAAAACTCTGACAAGTGTGATCTTGGAATAAAAAGAGGCACAGTTTAACATTAGAGATAAAGATGCCAAATCTCAGATATACCAGAGATGTAAAAACAAGAGAACAACAAAATACTTAGAGCTAATTTATTTGAAAATAAATGGACTGGAGAATTTCCTAGAAAAATATAATTTACATAAGATGATTCAAACAAAATATAGACTATCTCTACAATGTACAATCATTAAACAGTCAAGTCAGAGTTAACTGTCTACTTGCGAAAAACACCTTTTGGTAGTGGTGGTTCATTAGCCTCAGTCCCCAGCTGAGGAGTTATTGACAGTTGGTGACTTCTGGAGGAAGAACAGCCAGATGTGTTTAGAAGTGTGGCCCCTGGTAGGTTGACCATGCTCCAGTGAATGGCCCCATACCCATTTGTACAGTAGCAGCTCAAATTAAACTTGGTGGGTTATAAAAAATTACACAAAATTGATAAGAGGTGAGGAGGTAGGGAATGGATCTGGAAGGAGTTGGGGGCGGTAATGAAGGGGAATAAGATAAAAATACACTGTATGAAATTCTCAAATACTTAATAAAATATCTCTTTAATAACACATTCCAGGCTAGATGATTTTAGCAATGATTTCCACCAAGACACTAAGTAACAGTTAATCCCAGTATTAAACAAAATATTCCAAAGAACAATTAGGGTTTAAATTTAACGTGTGATTTTTATGAAACTAAGAACCTTGATACTCAAACATACCAAGGGAAATATGCAAAGTGTATTTGTTGCTCAGTATCCTTGTGAGCATAATTACAAATCTTCAATAAAATAATAGCAATTTTAAGTTAAGAATTTATGGTACATATGTTCTACCATGACTGTAGGAGATCAGGATGATTCATCATTAGAAAAATATAACAGTGTGTTGCACCATACAAGCAGATTATAGTGGGGGAAAAACAAATAATCTTGTAGGTTGAAATACTGATAAAATTGACCAGCTTTCCTTGATTTTTAAAGTGTACACAGAAACCTTAAGACAGAGGAACACAAAAAAATGCTCCTCATCTGATAGCAGGGATTTTTCTAAAAGGATTTAAATGTAAAACCTTCCAAATAATTCTCTTTGAAATCAGAAACAGGGATACCCATGATCAACACTGTCCTGGCAGAATGGGACATCACAAAAACCATTCAAAGGGCTCAAGATTTCAAAGTAAAAAATGATGGCAGATATGCTACTTGGGGCATCTGTGTCCTGGCAGAGGTGTCTGGGGAATGGCAGAATTCAGCATTGTTTTTTCGATTTCAAGAGTTCCAAAAGGTCTAGGTTTTCTGAAACCTAGACTATTACTTTGGTGACTCTTGTACTTTCTACTATCCACAGTTGTATTTCTTCCTGTTCCAAGCTCTTCAATAACTGAATCTTCTGGATGGAAGGAGCATTACAATATGTTGGACTTCCGGTCTGATAGAACTCTCCTAGAGTATACATACCCTTATGATGACTTTGGGATCTCCAGATTCTTTAGGACCCAACAAGAGCCCTGAACAGTCCTGAGCTCCACCCCCAGTGGATCATTGCTGCTCTAAAATTCTTTTTATTCATTATCATTTTCAGTTGGCTTTTTTCTTTCACATAAACTACTTTCAAACAATACCAAGTCCTCCAAAGGACAGGGGGAGGGGGATGATCCCATTTCAATATTTTCAATATTTCACTGGAGAGAGGCATTTGGTTTGCTTTCCCCTTGATTCTTTAAATGGTTTGCTCTTGTGGTTTTTCCAAGTATTTTTGTATTCTGAGTCACTCTGAGCAACAGACTGGGAATGTAGGAAGAAGTCTCCTTTTGCTGTTTTGATTAACTGTGTGAATGACCCTGGGCTCCTCACTGAACCTAATCAAGTAACTTCATTTATTGCTAAACAAAGATAAAATGCAGCCTGGAAACATGGGTTAGAATTAGATCTTGCCATGTGGTGACTCACTTCTCATGAACTTACACAAAGTAGATTTTTCCTATAATGTTTCCAGTTGAAGGAAAACAAAGAAACACCCTTAATTGTTTTTGTCTTACTATAGTTCATTTCTATCTGTTTGTTGTTTAATTCTACTGTTTAGTTTTAGTGAGCAGCCATAGCACTGAGTGAAGGCCTTGACACTATCCAGCAACCATAGAAGGAGAGAACAACAACATCACAAAACGCCAAGAGGAGAGGGAAAGTCCTGACTCAGCCTTCCACCTCTGGGGTCAGCTCTGAGTTGTGAGACCTTAAAGTCAAAAGAACATCGAGACTATGATTTCTAACTTACAAAACCGTCATCCACCACCCTGCATCTTTTTAGTCTTCTCCACCACCCTCCATCTTTTTAGCCTTCTGTGCAATTGTTTCAATTCCCCATTCCCCAGCAAACAAAACAAGCAGCAACAACAAAACATCAAAAAAAAACCAAACAAACAAACAAACAAAAAATGATGACAATGATTTCGAAGTTTGTAAACAATAACCCCAGATAAGGAGAACCATAAGGAAGGAAAAAGGTATCTTTAAGAAATGATTTGGCAAGAATTCAGTGCCTACTAGAAAACCAGGAAATAAACCAGGATTTGAAAATCGTTCTGACTCTGTGTTTTAATCTTTTCAAGCTATAACCCATATTGGATGTTAAAAAAAATCAAACAAGCCTAAGGAAAGCTGGTGTGGTCGCCCTTGCCTATAATTCCAACACTTGGGGGAGGTGGAGGCAGAAGGATTAGGAGTTCAGGGCCAGCCTGGGCTACAGAATGAGCTCTAGGCTAGCTTGAGCTACCTGAGATTCTGACTGGAAAGAAAATGAAAAAAAAAACTGAGAGAAAAATTCTTAACACAAAAGCGGCTTCCTTTCTTACCTTTGTTCAGTGTTAAAGAGCGCAAAGACGTGCTTGCTGGACATGAAACCCTTCTCCACATCCCGGACTTTCAGGTTGTCCAGTGGAAGCATGTATTTCTTTTCTTTCTCCTGTTATTCAGAGGTGAGAAAGAAAGAGAAGACTTTAATAAGTTACTGCACCAACAGAAACATACCTCCTAAACTGGATACCATGTAATAATGCTTGATTACATTACCTCGACACCATCCAACACTACTTTTACCTCAGCTGCCAAGAAATACAAGTTATGTGAGGCAGGAGAGTGATTCCCAACACGTTGGTTGAAAGCGTGGGAGTGGGGATGGGGTGGGGGAGGCGAGTATTCAGGAACGACTCTGAGAAGGAGAGAACACATGCTCCTTCATCCTTGCCCCCTCATGTGGGTCCCCTTAGATGTTTTGAAATGTTAGTCTGATATTAAGAATTTAGCCATCTGTTAATATTTAACAAAAATGTTCTGGTCCTAATTCAATGAGAAATGCCAGATGGATTTCATTTCACATTTTATTTGCAGCCTAAGCAGTTTTGATAGCCAGCATTGGCAGGCGAGTGTGGAAGCCCAAGGACCCTGGTATGAAATACCCCATAAACTGAGATAAAACACAGAAAGCCTTTCCCTCATTTGGGTCTAGCATAAAGTATAGGTCCACAAAAGGATTCTTTTATGCAGCTCATAGAATTTTTTTTAGCTCACTGGGGAAGAAAAACCCACTAGGATTAGATTAATATTAATTAACACAAGTTCTCTTTTAATAGATGGAACATGGATGTTGGAAAGGTGAGGTATGCAAACGTGACTGAAACATGTTGGTAAAACACACCAAATGTCCAAGAGTTACCAGAAACACTTTTGAGGACTGGCCCATGGCCGACGTATAAATGCCTATCAACCCATATAACTGGTAAGAGGCAAGTACTCGGTCTAAGAGGCATAGTAAAAGCCTATTACCAGGTCTCATCAGCATCACTTGCTAAACAGTAGTCCTCTGTATGAGGAAGAACTGGACACGGAGTAGTGGAGCACGTACTCATGGCTGTAATTCTGACACACATCTGTGGTTGCCCAAGGGAACCGTGCCTCACACACCCGTGTCTGCTAGGGGCTTTGCAGCTCCTACAGCATACAGGCAGCTTGAGAGCTCTTGACTCGGGAGCACAGAGCCTATGCGGTGTTGGATTGCAGAGGATATCACTGTTTTGGGGAACAACGAAGCAGAGTACATCAGAGTAGCCCCTTCCCCACCTCCATGAAAATAAAAATAAAAAAGCATGACTCCATGTTTAACCACAAAAATAAGACAGTGAAAAAAAAAGGGGTTGCATAAGTAGAAGGAAGCTGGTTGGAAAGCAAAATGGCCGCTCCGGCAAACAAAGCCTTCAAAGTAATGAAAAAAAGATAAAAGAAACTCAGCGGGAGTGGAGGAGGCCTAGGAAAAACATGTAAGAGTGGAGCACTGGGAGCCCATTTCAATATTTCCTGTATAAAACTAATAATTTATTCATGAATGCATGGATATGCTAAATAGCAAAATATTGTACTCAAGTAAATGAGGTATCAGAGCCGAGTCCAACTTACTTAAAACGTTTGTCCAACTATTTTCGGGCAGAATTCTAAGAGGCCGGACTAGATTGAATAAAACCCTCTCCAATACATAATCAAATGAAAATGCTTAAGACCCAGAGTACATTTTTTTTAAATTGGACGGTTTTCAATGCCCTAAATTTAAGCAGCTGTTTTTTTTTTTTAATGCACCATCCTATTCAACCTTTTGAAATGATGGATTGGCCTTCTTAATAGGAAATCTGCATTTCATTGTAAAGATGGAACACAGTGTCCTTGGCCTGTGTTCTATAGAAGTAGGCCCCTCTTTGTACTGCATTCTTTAGCATATACTGAAGACTGACAATCCTGCAAGTGTACATCAACTCTTCAGCACTGGAGAAAACATTCAGAGGCAGACAGGGAAATGGAAAAAGTATAGTCTTCCCTCCCAAAGATGAAGAATTAAATCCCATATTTATCTAAGGTTTTTGAGGACATGGTACTGAAGTATTTCATAATCACAAGTTTTAAGACTGACAAAGAAGACAGTTTCTTTAGACTGACGTGGGTAATTAAATTGTAAGTGAAACAGAATTAAATGGAGCAGCAGCAACACCAAGCAATGCAACATTATATTATGGGTATGTCTGAAAATCTTGGTGGTTTGGGGTTCTGGTTAAAAAAAAATTTAAAAATCTGGAATCTCAAATACCTTAAACAAAAAGACTACGGGAAGGAGAGATATATAGAACTATAATTCCTAAAGTGTAGTGAGAATTAGTATCATCTTAATTAAGAAACTTGCTAAGTAACCTGTCAATTCTAATAACCCATTATCCAACATGATAGCCACCAACCACAGGCAGCTATGAAATGACTTGAAATATAGTTAGTTAAATTGGGATGTTTGTAAATACAAGACAGACGCCTGATTCCAAAGGTTTAGTATGAAGCAATAGAATAAAAATTATTTATTTGCTTATTTGCAGATGCTGATTACAAAGACTTAGTATGAAGCAATAAGAATAAAATTACTTATTTGTTTGCTTATTTAAAAAATAATCTAGATATATTGGCGCTCCAGATACATGTATGCCTGTGCATCAGATGCATGCTGTGGAGGCCACACGGGGGCATCAGATCCCCTGGACCTATATTATAGATGGTGGTGAGCCATCCTGTGAATGCTGGGAACTAAACCTGGGTCCTCTGGAAGAGCAGACAGTGCTCTTTGCTAGTGAACCATCAGTAATAATTTAATCAACAATCTCACTAGTGCTTATAGCAAATGAAAATGTATAATCTCATCAATTGATATTTTTATATTAGTTTTAAGTTGAAATTATATGAATATGTTGGAGGTATTATTAAATGTAATTTATCCTGCTTCTTTTCTTTTGAAGGTAGTTGTTAGACAAATACAAATAACACTTGACCCATATGGAATGTCTTTAACAGCACTGCACCTCGTATACTCATCATCTCCTCCTTACCCCAGTCATGAAAACAGTCTTCCTTCCCAACTTCCCTGTTTCCACCGTGCAGCATAGGCTTTACTAAGTTCTGCACCTTTCTGGTGTGTTTCCTTCTCTCTCCTCCTTCATCACACAACTTGAAACTGTTTGACACCTTCCATGCTGTCCCAGATCTCTGGTATCTACATCACCAGAGTAGACTTTAGTTCTTTGAAATTTTCAATAGTTTTCCATTATTTATACAAAAATATCCACTAAACTCTCCAATGTGACATCTTCAAACACCTACAAATCGGTCCCATCCTAATCTATCAAAATTTCCCCCACTTTCTTTATGAAATCTCCATTTTTAGTTGTGTGTGGCAAACATCTGTAATCCCACTATTTGAGAAGCAGGCAGGAGTGAGAATTTGAGATTAGCCATCTCTATACTGTAAATTCTAGTCTAACCACAAACAACAACAAATTCCATCATGACCAAATCCACCTTCACCAAGACTACATAATCTAAGTTACCCTTTCAACTCCTTTCTGCCGTGATCATGATGTTTACAATCCACATCAAACTCTATTCTGTGAAGATTTTAAGCCCATAGCTGTGTGTGTCACCTCCTCATCTCTTCCATTTCAATGGATACAAAAGGTGTTATTTCTTCCATTCATTTCAAGCCAGTAAATCTTACATGAGATGCCCTCATTTTATGAGTGCACTACATTAAAAATTAGTGTGAACTCAGACTATCTAACCTATTATATTATTTAAATGGACTCCCCTTACAAAGCAAAATGAAATAGAGGACACTTTTGCTTTAAAAGGGACTTGGATTTTTGATACTACAAATGCCATTATTGTACAGATATTTGGAGGTAGAAGCATATATAAAATTTTAGAGAACTATTTAATGATTCTTAAAGGAGCTTCTTACATATTTTCAAAAGCTTCTGGAATGGATGTCATTTTGTCAACATCATTCTTTTATTCATACTTAAATCAGTACTTTTTCCTTTACTCACTGCAGTAAGATCACTAGTGTTATCTACATTTGGTATCCAGGATGAGAGAGATGATTTGCTCAAAGAGGAAAGAAGCATAGGAGACCTAGTGTTCTTTCCTAGTAACCAGGCATGCAAGTAAGTGAATGATGAGTAGTAACAGAAGCATCACAAGGAAGAGAGGTGCAGATTATAGGATGGCCACACCATGTGATCCTTGAACTTGAAATCAGACTCAGTAGGTTTGGCAAGTGCCCAGTTGTAGTCCCTAGCTAGTAAAGCCCCATTTAGTTGGTTGCTAGAAGGGGATATAGTGCATATGAGCAGAGGACTGGTTATATGGAAGAATAGTTCCTAGATATGCAAAGTATTAGGAAGCATGTATTCACTTGGCAATTTATATAGACAGAGTTTCGGGACTTGGGAACTATGTGAGTGGCTTTAGTTCGATTTTCTTATGATAAGACAACAAAATTCTTCCAGAAGACTGACTGGGGACTGTGAGTTTTTTCTCATTCTTAGCCAGTGCTTAGCAAAGCACTGAACACAAGTTCTGTGGCATATATCAAAAATATCATCAAACTGATTTTAAAATGTTGGTTAACAAAAACAAGTGTTGATTTTTGACAGTCATATATACTTAAAAATTTAGTAAAAAATCCATTTTTAAAAGTGCTGTAATATGTGGTTTTAGCTTCTTGTTGCTTTGACAAAACACCTGACCAAAATGACTTAAAGAGAAAGAGTTTTATGTGGGCTTATGGTTTTGGAGGTGACAGTCCATTGTTGCAGGGAGCAGTGCACAGCGAGACGACCAGGAAGCTTGGGCAGAGACCTGTGACTGACTCTCCTCATTTTTCTTCCTTTATTTCATCTTGACTCCGAGGCTCAATTTAGGGTAGGTCTCCCCATTTACCCTTAGAAAACCCTCCCAGAAAACACCCTCATCAACACTCCTAGAAGCATGCCTTTCTAATCATCTGGATGTGTCTCAATCCCACAAAGCTGGGAATCAAGACTAAACACAGAAGCCTAACTGATTGGCATGACTTTTGACCACTAAATCTACACAAAGTTT